AAACACAGGTAAAACTCCTGAAGAGATTAAATATTTCTCTGAACACTAAAAGTAGCTCAAAGGCTTATATTTACATACTGCTGCTGTTGTGCAATTTGACCAGAGGGACTTCACCAGGCTCCCAGTGAAGCAACTATTACATAGTCATCTTGCAAAAGAATTTTGCCCTGTGCTCTTGCTCCACCTCCCCCTACAGATATGTCACTTAATAGAACTTGCTGCCTTGAGGCTGACAGGAGAAGTTAAAAAGCCTTCACCTTAGTGGACAGATAAGAAAACAGCTGAAAGATATTAGGGGGAAAAAAAAAAAAAAAAAAAGCAAAAAACATTTCAATTCAGCTAAGACAGACAGAACCTGAGGATTCTAACTTATTGGAAGCCTGATAAAGCATCCTGAGCAGCGTTTGTCAGGAATGGCATTGGTACAGTGAACCTGCCAGATGGACCAGACAGACTGTAAGGGTGCCTCTAGCCCTGTTAATCTGTGATCTTGCAATGGAGAGGAGCAAAGACTAGATTAAGCAATCGGTAGAAAAGCTGCAAGAGCACCTGAGAAGCCTCTAATCTACCTTCCAGTTTATCTTGTTCTTCTCTTTGAGTAGGAATGTTAATTAAAATATCTTCAAAAATTTGGCCAGCAATAATAAACTTTTTCAATAGCCAGCCTCAGGCAGTCCACATAATGAAACTTCATCTCTTATTTTATGTTGTGCTTTGCATGGATTAAAGTACCTTTCGAGACCGCATTCCCATTTCAGTATGTATCATATTTACTTTCCTAATCACTAGCTGAAAGTATTTGATTACCAGTCGTATGCATGGTAGTCTCACAGTAGGGAAGCAGAACAGCCTTTTGATCCACTCTGACAGGTAAATTTGGGGGCTACACAGGAGCAAATAAACACACATCATTTCAAGCATGCAGAGAGGTTCACAGAAAGTGCTCATGCCATGGAACTCACACCACAGGGCCCCTCTGTTCTCCGCAAGCCCCACCAGCAGGTCTGCCTGTGGGAAGATGCTTCCCTGGCTGGGAATCACAGAGGACTGCTCACAGGGATGGGTTTCTGCCATGACTGATACCCAGGAACTTCTCCTCAAGCTGCCAAAAAACTCTGGTCTATACACAGCTGTTCCTGTATTTTCACTGTGTGTTACTGTTCATAAATACCATTTAGATTATAAAAGCATACACTATCAAGGAGAAGAAAGTTCTTCGGGAAAAAAAAAAATCACTTTCATTTTGTCTGCATGGGAAGATTTCTAGCAAATCTTTACCTTTTCCTGCCATGCTCCTTTCCCCTGCAAAATAAAACCATGCAGTACAAAAAAACCCTAGCTTCTGCAAGTAACAATAAAACATCCATCTTTCTCCACTCTCCCCCACTGAAAGCACAATGCATATCTTCCTGTTTGCTTTCCTTGTCCAGGCATGGATACTGATGCAATCTCTTCTTACTAAGAAAGGAAACGCCTCAGTCTGCATCTCCATCCCTCTCAGCAGCCTGACTAAGCAGATTGGAGGAAAAAAAAAAAAAAAAAAAAGACAAGTGAAGACTCACTGAAGAAGCATTACATTAAAGGTATAACAAAGCACAACGGCTGCCAGTTCAATGGGAAAGGAATATGCTGCAACTGCTCAGAAATTAAAATAGGCTAGAAGAAAGCAAGCACGTCAGATAGGCTGTCGGTGGGTAACTCCCGCACTTTCACCCCCTAAGAAGACATGTTCTGCAGTTGTGCAAATGCTTCAACACCATCCTAAAGCTGTCATCTCCCCAGGCTCTGGGGGAAAACAGAGAAATGACAGCTTCCCCATGGCACCTGTCAGCCCTGCGTTCACTCCTTCCCCACCCAAAAAGAGCAGCTGCTAGCTTCTTCCATCACACCTACTGACAAGGTGAAGCTGAGGCTTGGAAACCGCCAGCCTGTGGCAAAGCACAGTAAATCTAAGCAGGAGCCCACTGTTCATTTGGAGATAAAAGGGAACTATCCAGCCAATGAAAATATGCTACAAACAAGAGCAGGCAAGAAAGGAAAATGGCTTGATCACAGTGAAAAAGTGCATTTTTAAACAAAACAAAACAAAACAAAAAAAAAAAAAAAAAAAAAAGGAAAACGAGCAAAATTGACACTGAAGATTTCTTGAAGCTTCCAGAGGATTATTCCAGAAAATGTCACTGTTGCATACAACCACAGAGTCAATTTTAACTTACTTTCTATTTCTCCCAGTTAACATTTTGAAACTGTATGTGTGTAAGCTACCGTTCTCACCTGCTACTACACAGACTGAGGCAGGCAGTTAAAAAAGAAAAAGCACAATATTTATTGATACTTCTCTTGTTGCCCATATTGTTTGAGAGATATTCAACTTTTCCTGCAAAATAAGATACTGCACAACAGGATAAAAAAATTAAATTGTTTATAAAATATTCCTGGTTATTTGACACAAAAAGAAAATAAATATATGCAGACTTAGAAAAGGAAAAGATGATACTATGGAAAGAAAAACAACACAAAAGAGAAGAGTGTTAATTTACAATGAGGAGCTCTTATAGAAAGAAAACAACATTCCAAAACGTTTCTCCTTCAGCTTGCTTCCTTAAGAGCAGAAGTGGGGACACTTCATCAAAGGAAACAGATGAACAGCAACAGCTCCTGTTAGAAACGCCCTTAACACACACAGAAAAAGGATGAAAAAGAAACAGTCAACCAATAAAGCATACTGTAAATTCACTTGAAATGTAAGCACCCCCCATGATTTTTCATATACATTTGCTAAATCTGTTTCCTCAGATTTCTTCAACCAAGGTAGTCTAGGGAAACTAGAGTGGCTCCCGGCATCCTACAAACCCAGCAGGGCTCCTGGCTGCCTACAGAAAACCACAGCAACCACTTAGAAAATAATCACCAGTTTGCACATCAGCTTTAGCAGATTAAATACTTCAGAGGTGCTGAATGAATACTTACAGGTATGCTGTAGTCAACCATATCTCACTTGAATTGTTATCACCTTAAATATCACAGGCCACACTTGAAAATAATGGCTTATCTTTGGATATTGCCTAGCAACGTCACTAACTTGTAAGGACACATACACCAAACTATAGGAAGGACTTCAGCTTCGTAAGGCTGATGTTTTTTATCAGCTTTGTAATTCAGAAGAGGTACTTTGTAAGCACAGAGAAATCAGATTTTAGTAGTAAACCAGATTGAGAGAAGTTTATATCGCTGCAAGCTTAGCTTATGCTTTAAATAATACTTTTAAAAGGAAAATAGGAAAAGGTATATTTCCTAGGGCATCAAGTGCATGAGGTGCTACGTCCAGTCCCCCACTAGGCAATTCCTTAGTGACATGATCATCCTTCCCTTCCTGCAACAAACCCAGCGCTGTTTAAAAACACTTTGTATCAATTCCCAACAGCCTGCTCATAGCGGAATTCGTGACTTACATCTGCTCAATTTGCCACAGAAATCCATCCTCAGTCTAACTACTGCAGAACACACCTTCTGTATGGCATGGAAAATTTGTGGGACACATCAGAATCTCAGCCACATGGTGAGGTGGCTTGTCACAGACACTCTGCCAATACCTTGACTTGCAGTGGCTGCTTTTTTTTGCATTCAAGACTCAAACATTCAAGTTTGAGGCTAAAAAGCCTGCTGGAAATGACTGAACATACATTATTATGTCTATAGCACATTAACTCTACTATTTCATAACAATGCAATTATAATACGAACTACTCTCACGTGCACTTTAAACAGTAGAAATGTTTTAGAGAGGAATAGGATTAGGAAGCACAGACAGTATCTGCTGATCCGGTGCAGCCAACTCTGCAGACTGTACAAACTTCACAGTAATTCATGACTTTCTTGAAATCTTGGCAAACTGTGAAAACCTCAGCTTGCTTTTAAAGCGAGGCCATAGTTTCAGAAACACTAAATCAGACAAACCTGTTCTGGACAGACATGAAGCTATCCCACTTTGTCACCCCATTCAGCTGCTCATTTCAGCCTCTTTGCCATCCTCCCTTTGTGTGGGTGTAAGCACTGATGTAAATCACACTGAGGAACAAATACATTTTTGCTTGTAGCTATGCTTAATCTACTTGTATTCATACCATAAACCAGGTTAGCCACAGCTGCACAAGCATCAGCACCAAAGAGGGAAGAAGGAGAGCCATAAACCAAATCCCACTCTTTCAGCAGCTGTACCAGCTTAAAAATGGCTTGTGAAATTAAGGATTATAATTCCAGATAGAAAAAAAGAATTAGTGAACTTCTCCCCATTTCACCCTAAAAACAAAAATCATTTGAGAAACAATCCCTCTTCCGTTTCACTGAGGCATGACTCCAGATACTTCAGCACAAGGCTTAACATTTGGACCACTGGTTCCAGGTGCTTTGGTAGTGCAAACGGTGCTAAGAGGGGAAAGACACCAATCCTGTACCCAAAGCTGGCTGTGGGAGATTTGCTCTCAGCTCCACCGGGAATTCAGTTCAAACAGAGGAGAACTGAACTGAAAAATGCCCAGGGTACATAAGCGTGCCAAAACCCCATGTTCACACTGAGCACATACCACATAACAAATACACATTTACATTGCATGAGCAATGGTTGGGCACTTCAAGACTTCTGTGTAAAAAATGGAATGCCACAGACTCTCTGACAACAGTGAGCTTACATATAAACGCAGTTTAAAGTTTTGTGACTTTTGTTTTGGCTTAATTTTGAAAATGGTACCAGTGTCTGCAGCTCTTCATCCCAACTAGCAACTGCCTGCATACGCTGGTTGCAAGCATGGCACTATCCTCAAAACAACAGATCCATTCCACTAGCTCAGTAACTATGACCTGCGCTTCTGGATCCTGATGCACTGCAGACTTTGAAGCATCAGCATCTTCTCACCAATATGGAAATCATATGTGAAAACTCTTATTCACTGTATAATATAGACAACAAGGAGAAAGCTGCATAGCGAGGCATTTTCACTTACGTGGTTTATATAGAGACTCTTGCGTTTTTCTCTCACTGCAAAAACACAAAATATGATAGAAATATTACATGACTATTTTTCCTGATTAAGCTTCTTACATACCATTTATAATAAAAAGAACAGGAGGCTATCTACGTATGACATTGTCATTGCTCTTACACTAACCATGTATACTTATATATCAAATACAGAATAAACATGTATTTGTATGCTTAAAGGCATTTACGCTCACTAGTGTGGTGATGGATTGAAATTCTCATCCATTTGGGTATTCACTAGGCATTGGTACACATGGGAAGGTTAACAGCAGAAAGCTATGGTCCAAGTCAGCCATCCTTCACCAGAGATCTCTGCAGGTACTCTGTGTCACCAATAGCTTTGTGCAAGGTACCCTGCTGCATAGTGACCTACGCTATCTCGCAGTCATGAAAGCACCTAAACAGCTACCCCATGGAGTTAGCAAATTCTCATTGAAGCTTACTGTGCACTAACTCCCATCAAAGTGCTTTGAAAACGTATATGCATCATCCCACTGCCTTATCTAGTGGTAAGCTGTAAGTCTGAAGCTATTACTCAGGTCAGATACAACAATGAAAGTTGGTGAGTAGAACTAGTCATCACAAGCAGGGGTTGCAAGTTGGGGGGTTGCAAGACCAGAGTGAGCAGCCCAAATACTCAGTAAACAGCAGCAACGAGGGAGACATGTATAGTCCTCAATGTCAGGCAAATTTTTATTACAGTTGATGAAATACAGTATATTTAAATTTTTCAGCACTTCCCCAATTAACTCACCCCATAGAGCCTGTGGAGTTCCCTTCCCATGAAAATACCAAAGCATTTAGGATACGAGTCTGGAGGCATCTAACACATAAATCAAACCGCAGGATTAAAGTAATAATGGTTTCATGCTGTAGATGATTAAATGCACTTCAGTGCACTATGATTTGAAAGCTATGCGACCCAATGCACTTAGCAAAATAAGAGTGTTTGCAATGGTGGGATAGATAGCCTGTCCATTCCCTGTTGGATGAGAAGCCATTACTTGTGATTCATTTATTTTTCAAAAGCAAGCAATCTAACATAAACAAGGCTGTACGTGTGGATACTGTGAAATATTGCTTAATGCAGACATAAAACAAAAATAAAGTAAGAAAATACTTTAAAAAATCCTTACATAATTTTCCTCCCAGGGAGCAGAAAGGAGAATCACACATGACAGATGTTAGCCATGTCACTTAGTACATGCTCAGATCCACAGTTATGGACATTGTATAGAAGACAGAATAAAACAGGAACAGCAGGAGAGTTCAGGTTGTCGAGCAAATAGTTAAACTGCTTGAAATCCTGCTAAAACACTGCACTACACTTAAGTTCCATACACTGCATTTACAACCAGCAAAAGACATAAGCAATCTAAAGGGAAACACAAACTGATAGTAGGTACTTCTAAGAATAAAAGAATTTGTCAGGCATTGCATATTGCAATATACAGGCAGTAAGCAATTCTGATAAGCTGCATGTAAACCTAATAGAATACATAAAATTAACAGCTTTAACTGTGACATTTCAAACACAGTTAAATATTTAACCAACAACAGTCACAATTACTCCTCAAACAGAATTGTTATGGACAAAATCCAACAAACACAGTCTGCACATAAACTCCAAATCTCATTTTTGAACACCTTTTTTCTCTGTCTCAGACTTTATCTTCTGTATTTTCCCTTGTACATATTACACCACTCCATTCCCTACAGAAGTACTATTATTTACCAAAGCAAGAATATCACTTACAGCTGTTATTGCTACTTCCAACCTCCAGAAAAATATACTAGTGTATTTATACACCTTTCACTTTGGCCTATTCAAACATCAATTTGTGCCGCACAGTTTTCCAAGTACCACCTTGACTCTCTTCCCCTTCTTTTTTGCACATAATAGAAATTTCATTAGCTTTCATTGTCCAGTGAGGGACTACAAGAAAGCAGTTGTGCCTTCATGCTTCTGGATCATTCTACTACAGCCTGAGGCTCAAGTCTCACAAGAATGTACGTCAATGAGAACTGCAGCATGGTAGATGCTCTCTTTTGTGCTCACAACCCTCCCTTTAGACAGAATTGACAATAACTGCAAGAAGCCAAAAGCTGTTTCTGCCAGTCTTATTCTAGAACTGTTGTAAAGAGTCTCTGTTCTTTGGCTCCAATGAGCTTAGAGATGTTTTGCAGTGCTCGCATGGCACAGTATGAACAGATCTATAGTCACAGTTTAAACAACTGAATGAAGAAGTTGTATTTTCCAACATTTTTAACACGTGAAAATTGGATTGGAATTCTTCAAGTCAAGACTGGTATCTGAGATGCTGCCAAATGTTCTTTATTTTCCTCATTTCCCATTTCTTCAAGCACTTCCTATTGTTACTCTTTTGCTAGAGTAGGAAAACATTATCTGGGAATAAAAAGGAGTGAGGAGATACACACATATGCAATATATGCATGCATGTGAATAAGCAAGTACGCATTTTTCATTAAGCTGTAAGATAAATCTCATTTGTGTATTTTCTATAGGAAACCTTAATGTTACCCATATTACAAGGTCAAAACCATTGAGGATTACATCAATAAGATCTCATATTTTGTTTGCAGATCATTTCATTTCGTCTCGTCTGAGAATCAGCAAACTCATCCCTAGTTAACCATAAAAATAAAACACACCCTAGTTTACATCTATCTAAAATTAAACAAATATGGTTTCAAAACGTTCTTTGTCTAAAGCCAACTGTTACATTGGAAAAAATTTAGCCAATGAACTCCACATGTAAAGCTTAATATAAGTTAGGAAAAGAGGAGAGCTGTAATCCACTTGTAGTTAAGATCATTACCAGCACCTTGAAAGAGCAACACTTGTGCTCTTGCTATTCCAAGGAAAGGAAGTTATGCTATTGTAGTACTAGGACTTGGAAACCCTAGCTTAACCACCAGCAGGTGCTGAATAGTGCAGGGCTTTTTAGTCATCTAGCTACTCTTTTTTACAGGCCAAATTCACTAAGCAAGAATTGGCATAAGGCACTCAAAGAAGACAAAGATATGAAAGATGACATCCTCTACTGTCTCCCCATACAGGGAGAACCTCTCACGTAAGACTCAGCACCTAGAGTACTCCCATAAAGCCTTGAAAAGATTTAGAAATGCTATTTTAGTTACATATCAAATAAATATCCATTGTGTCTTCAATTTTTTCTTTGGAGTTATTGAACTCTCAGGTAATTAAGGGTAAACTATGAGACAATGAGAGACAGTACAGACCTCGATGCTTAGTGTGGTATTTAAGTCACACAGAACAATGGGCAATTCAGAACATGTAACATCCAAAGACGCTACGCCCTGTTTCATTATATTTATTGTTGCTCTTCACTTACGTGTTGCTCACCAACAGCTCAAAGAGCAGCTCCTGTGCTAAGACTACATGACTGAGGCTGTAAGAGCACAGCATTACTAGAAAGCCAGACAATTACTGGTTACTGGAAAGTGAGATGCGCAGCTGCCTGAAGATAACGCTGCCAAGTCACTTTTGCATGTAGTTATGGACTTGGCCCTTTCTCACTATACAAACACATAATCAACACTCCAGAGCCACAGCCAGATCCTGGACAAAACCTCAAGTCCAAATATCTCTCAGCTCTCTAAAACATAAATTTAAAATGCCTTTAGTTCTTGATGATGGAAATATTTTCATTTACAGTTAACTACATGAAGGTTTATCAACCCCACGCTATGTAATAACAGAAAGTGGTAGCTACATGGCCCAGCTGGGTGTTTTCAGCATTGCTGGTGCAGCTCTCCCCTTCTACACTGACTTTAGACCTAGGAGATCTCTGAGGCTGCACAGCAGGCTGCCAGAATACAATGCTACATAACTCAAAAAAAAAGAAGAAAAACCTTATATCTTCCCCTTAACAAGCATTCTAATGCATTTGGCATTGGGCAATATTCCTGAACAGCATAACTCTTAACAGCTCTCTTATTGCTGCAACAGGCCCAGTATATAGCAAAATGCCTATGATGGTGTGTTGTCCCACCAGAATGGGATGGTTCTTGGCAATACATCAGTAGATAAATGTTCACAAAAACTTATTTCTTTTGTACAAGCCCTTGGATTTTTACCACTAAGATCAAGAACAGCTGAACAGATCTTAAAACTTTGTTTTAAAAGTTTATATAAATTCACTGTTCTCATTCAAAAAATTATGTAGAGTTCTTTGTGTCATATATACTAGAATAAGGTTTCACACACCAACTCTAGCATGGTATAAACCACACTTGTTCAATCCACTGGTTTTATGGTTTTGCTGCCCTCATTTTTTAATGTTTAAATGAAAAATAAATATAAAAACAAGATGTTTTGTTACTTATACACATTAACCATATTCTATATGTTATATGTGGCCCAAGACAATTCCTCTTCAATCAGTATGGCGCAGGGAAGCCAAAAGGTTGGACACTTCTGGTGTAAATCGTCATTTAAATATTTGTACAGTTAACTCTATACTGCAATAAATTAATCACTATTATCGCATGAAGAGTCATCATCAAGTGATAAAAATTTCATTTCTTGGAACTGAAGTTTTGCCTTTTTTTTCCCAACAAAATGTAGTGAGAAACATGTAGCAACCACATGGGACTACACAGTCTCAAAGCACTATAAAAATAAACATCAGTCTTGACAACACACTGAACTATGGAAATGTTATCATATTCACTTCATAGATTACCAAACTAGACCGGGATGGCACAATCACATCAAAAAACACACAGTAAGCCACTGACAGAATCAGAGCTGAATTCCGGACAATCTGAAGGGCAAAAGAAGTACTCAAGTAATCAACTCTTCAATCAGAACCTAAATGTATTCTCTTTGTACTAGTCAAGCTCAAAAATTAGCACAAAATATATGGCAAGTGAAAACTACTTTTTTTTTTCCTAAGTGATGTGCTTGACACTGTAATTTACTATGTAAATGAAAAATGGCATTTATAGGCAACAGCAAGAAGGACAAAGAATTCATACCGTCAGAATTACAATGTCGAAAATGCTTTGAAAGTCTTGGTAGAAAATAATGCCTTTTTGCATCAATTATTTTCATCTACTTCTAAAACAACATGTTATAAATGTCCAGCAAGGAATGTAAGTGCCAGAGTAAATGGCTTCTATTCTTCTAGGTCTATCAAGAAGCCTGCGTAATAGATGTAATTCCAGAGTGATCATCTTGTCTACAAATTAAAAAACCCAAAAAACTCCAGACAAATATATGATTATTTCAAATCCATGAGAGAAAAAGATAGAAGATTTGAGTGGGAGATGGGTTGTTTTGTTATTCAAATCTAGTACTGAACTCATCTACAGATCAGCTGTATCAGAGGAAACTCTGGACCATCTTCTTAGCTAAGGTACACAAGCTTTTTTTTTCAGTAAAATATTATGAAGTCATTTTTCTCAGAACTTTGGCCTTCTGTTCAGAATGTTAGAAGACAAACAAACAAAAAAACACGGTTGCACAGAAAATTTGGCACTTAGGGAAAATATTTTTGATTATAATTATATTCAACTTTATCCACGACAAACTGGAACTTAAAACTTCAGTGTGACCTTCAAGTACTAACTCTGACAAAATACTCTTTAATTTGCTTTCCTTCAACTCTAATACAGTACCTATCAAAGCCTCTTTTTTGGAGGGAGGGGAATTATTTATTCAGTAGCTATCACATGCATTCTGACAAAGAGATAACTGCAATAGTAAATACAGCAATAAGTTCAGTAACCTACCATCTGTTTGAGATTTACTGAGAAATATCGTACTGGCCCGCGGATGGTCTGATGGGTTGAATTCCATGTTCAAATCTGGAAAGAAACAAACAAAAAATAGCATGTTAAACATTTAAGATTATCCAGCAGCATACACAGATTTTCTTATTTTTTCTTAATAAGATCAAGTTTACACACTTAAGCAGCTACTATAAAACAAAATCAATCTTGAAAAATCACTTTTTTTTTTTTTTTTTTTTTTTTTTAACCCTTTTTCACACCAGTAGTTGTTTTGGCATCCAAATTGTTTGCATCAACACAGCCTTGGGATTAGTCTTTGCTTCTAAGGGCTAATTTGTTTTTGGATAAAAACAGATAAAGCAGCTTGAGAAGCCTGTACATAATAAGTCAGGAATTATCAATTTTCCTTTAGTTTCTTCCTCCATATCCTGAAGCCACTGCTAAGCAGAGGAACAGAGCTTGTTTCATGTAATTGTAGAAGAAAGAAGTATTCTAAAGTAAATATTCGTCTCTCTGCAGATAGTTAGGTTTCCATAATTAGATGTGATTAAATGAGCAGTTGCTGAAGCTAAAGGTAAACAAGTTACATCTAGGCCAGGCTATTTTAAACGATCAAAATTACAAAAGTTTAGCGTTTTCTGATATTTCACATGAACATATTTCTTTCTGTGATGTAAAAGAAAAAAAAAAAGTTATCAGAAACGTTTACTGAGGATTTGAATCTGTCACAGCATATCTGAACTTCCAGAAAAATTACTTTCCCCAGCAATATTAAAATGCCTTCAGTTTTCTTGTTCCCAAACTCCATGCTACTTCTAATTCTTTGAAACTCCTTATGCCTGCGTTCACTTGAAAGCACGCTGCTAAAAACAGCACGATTTCTTTTTAAATCATTTTTCTTGCACTCCCCACGTGACTACAAGAATGCAAATTCCCCTCTATTCTCCTGATCTCTACATATACATTAATTTCCACTTGACAGAGGCTTTTATGCAACACTACATATGAGCACTGATGTTTGTCTTTGGTAACTAACTCAGGCTTTCTAAACTTCTTGCTCCTCTCTCTTTCTCTGAAAACTCAGAACGGAGAATTAAGCTTCAGGTCTTATAAAAATAACAACAAAAGAAATATTTCTGCCCAAGGGCCAAGTTCACCCATCTGCAACTTTCTCTCTTCTTTCACTATCCATCACCATGCTCCATTTTTCATTCCCCTTCCATTTATAATTTTACTAGGCCTTCCCACATTTTTCTCCTGATCACATTCTTCTCTACAAATTTATTTTCTACCTGTCCTTTCTAGCATCTCTCGGTTTCCTCTCTGCCCCTCTGCATCTGACACCCATGAGATCACAGAGTCATAAAATAGCCTGAGTCAGGAAGGTCTCATAAGGATCATCAGGTCCAGCCCTGCTCCAAATGGAATCACCCAAAATCAAACACCCCATGTCTGATAGAGATGTTCAAAAGTTTTCTGAACCCTGGCACTCAGAAACCTCAACTGTTCCTCATGTCGTGTGCTCTAGACCCTTCATCTTTCACCACTGCCCTGTTGCTGCCTGACATGCTGCTGGTACTTGGAGAACACTTCTGGGTCAAGTAACGGACCTCCTACTTACTAGGAAGAAATCAGGAATATAAATGAACAGTTTCTAAATTTCAGCTCGAAAGGAGTCTTATTACTGTTATCCAAGCCACCAAGGAAAAATGCAATAACATTTCCAGAAAAAGTCATTTTGATTCTCTGAGAAAGCACAATTGCTAGCCAAGCCTAGAGGAGATCTTAGGTATGTGACTGGAAGTTAGGAAGAACTGTCAAATAGAAAGAACATTTTCTTATTACTTTCTGCATCTTATTTAGATGTGGGGAAGAATAAAAATTACCCATTGTGATAGACAGTGCTACTGAACACTGCTTTTCATTTTACATTTTTTTTCCATTAAACTGAATTCAAGACGTAAATCATTAAATAAAGAATAATCATAATCAGTGTTTTAAAACAGCAAAATACACTGCCTTTTATCATCCTCTTCATTTAACAAACAGCACAATACATCATCATAAAGTGCATTTAAAAACAACAGTTCTTCTGTAGATCTTTTTTCTGCAGACAGTTTTTCTGTAAAATCTTTTAAAGTACAGCAAAGCCATTTCAGCTAACAAAACAAGACTGATAAAATGCAAGTGAACTCAACTGTCAAAACACTGTCCCCAAAGCGATGAGCATTCCTTTCCTTCATGCCTAGAAAATTGTCTGCTTGGGGAATAATAACAGCCTGGTACAGGCTTACAGTCTGCTTGTGGGGCTGAAAAGAAAGGAAACCAATTGCCACATCTTGCAGTCAAATCGCAACTATTTCAGATTCCTCTGTTGTAAAAGACCATTATGCAGAAGAAGTGGAACAATGGAGGGCTTGAAGTCCTTTCAAAAAAGCACAAGCTGTTTTCTGGCAGAAGTTGAAAGAAGGCTCGCAAGATCCAAACTCAGCAGCTGCAGAGGCCAGAGCATGGATTTGGAAGTGGCCTGGGTGAGGCAGCTGCCTGGGCTCCTTTCCACCCCACCTGCCCTAGCCTACATGCTCCTCAAAGTACACGTCTTCTTCTGTCAGCGCCCCTTCTGCCGTCCTCTCCCTCCAATCAGCAGCCAAACACGTCCTGTTTGTCTCTTTTTTTCAGACTGCCATCTCCAAAATTAGAAGTGAATGACATGGGTAGGTGAGCAGCGAAGCCTGCCAGGACTTTTGCCAGCACAAGGTGACCCTAAGAAGACAAGCACTGCTAAGAGTCCCCTATCCCTGTGAGGAACAGCACAGCACTTACTGCTAGGTTTCTGCAGGCAGAAGAAAGCAGGCTGTGAGGTGTATGCCTGCAACCTCATCACTCCTCATTCCTCCCAGAAAAGCATGAGGTAAATCCAAGCACTCTTTAGGCACTGGTGGGACCACATCACTCCAAGCCACTGCTGCTTCCGTATGGGGAGATTAAAAGAGATACGGCTTCACGAGACAGAAGGAAGATATCAGTTTCTAGAGACTGAAATTTACTGTGCAGTTTGGAAATAAATGCCCTTTTCAATCTGGGAACGAATTCTTACATGTCTGCAATTAGAAACAGTGCTATAAGAGGAAAGAGATCAAATATTAGACACAAATCTGAAGTTACTAACTCATTGCCTAAGGGCACTGACCATCAAGAAGCTACCTCCATCCCACAGTAATATTGCTTTAGTGATACCAGTTGTACTTTCTAGCATCTGAAAATTAAAACAGCCACAATATAAATGCTTTACCCACTTTGTAATGGAATAACTGATGTTAAAAAGAGATATAAACTCATGCAGACAGTATTCAACTGTTAGAGAGGGAAGTGAGAGCCAGAATTTCAATTATTGAAATGTGTACAAAAATTTTATCCATTACCAGCAGTCTGCTCTATGACTCATCGTAGCCTTGCAAACGAAGGATTTCAAGTGGATATTTTTCAAGCAGTTACCCTGCACTCCAAAATGTGTTAAGAAAAAAAAAAGTCTCAAAGATGGTCCAAACTATGGGTTTTTTTTTCAAGAGAATACTGGTTTGTGATTAAGAGACATATTGCTTAATTACAGATCCTTTGGGTTCAGAGTTTCTGTGGGGTTTCAGTAAATTGAAAAATGACAGGACAAGTAACAGTTGACACAACAATTTATAGAGCAATGCAGTGTCTTAAAATAATTTATTGTTATAATAGTTACCATTAATAAAAAATACAAAGATAATAAATTATTAATGTTTATTCTGTTCAAGTGATATCTAAGTGTACATATATGATATGAAAGTGGTGAAACATTGGCAAAGGCTTTACCAACGATAACGTATATTTCCATAAGTTGCTTAAGTAAAGCTAATTAAATCTGGAAAAAAGTTAGGAATAAAAACACGTTCTTTTCCCTTTAAACACCTGCTCTGAATACTGAAGTCATTGAAGATCAGAATAAGAAGTTAACTGCATGTCAGAACATTCCTGAAACCTACTCAACCAAATAGCATGATTTTAGCCGCAGGGGACACCTCATCATTTTGGAATATTTTGCTCCAGTTACACTAAATGCAAAATACAGGAAATCCACAAATAAAACAACTACTCCTTACTGCCACTGAAGCAAAATCAGATAGGCTCTACTCTTGCAAAACATAAGCCCCTTTTACAGCATAAATTACAGCTCAGATCTCTCATCTAAGATTCCTAAACTTCATGATCAGTCAAGCCTGAAGCATCGCACCACTTAACAACAACTGAGAATTCTAAAGCATGCTATGCAATTAAATGTTAAATAGATGGGAAATATTTTCCTAGATTCTTCCAAGTTCAAAGATTAATCTGGATTTTTTTAATTTATTCTTTCAGCTCTAAAGAACTATTAGGTTATGCAAAATACAGTTCCGATAGAGCAAATGAAATTTTGAGGTTTTTTGTATTCTCATGATTATAAACTGAAAATGAATGTCAATATATACATGTACGCATACACACGCATGTACCCTTCTTTATAATAGAAATAAAGATGTCTGCATAGATACATATATGTAGGGAACCCCTACAATTCTGTGATTCTGTGATCTATAAAGATACATGCTTATTATATATATTTTTTCATTTACATGAAAATGAATACAAAATGCCTTTATGATATATTTTTAAATCATAATAATTTTGATTAACCAAATGAAAGTCAGACTCAGGATCACTTCAGCTAAGTGGTCACATACCTAAAAGCAATTTGCACAATTTTTGAGTACTTGGGCAAGATGAAAGTTACAAATGCATACAAATAAATTTAAGATTGCAGTCTCTTTCTCATTTAGTATCATGCCAAAATAAGAGCTCTTGCTTCCTGACTTATTACATCAAATAAGTTCTCTGTCTCCCCAGGAATAAAAGGCAGATTTTGACCATAACTCAATCTGAAGTTTAAGACAATAATGAGAAGACCACAATGAGATTTCACTGGGCATTGTGAGAAACTTCATCCCTGAAGCCACAGTAGCTGCATTCAAATATGGCCATAAAAAGAAGTGAACTGTAAAACAGTT